TGACAGAGAGAGACACAGCGAGAGAGGGAACACAAGCAGGGGGAGTGGGAGAGGGAGAAGCAGGCTTCCCGCCGAGCAGGGAGCCCGATGCGGGCTTGATCCCAGGACCCTGGGATCATGACCTGAGTGGGAGGCAGGCACTTAACGACTGAGCCACCCAGGCGCCCCTCATTGATAAATATTTTAGTATGTATCTATGTAAGATACAGACTACTTAAAAATATATACAATATCATTGTCACACTTTAAAAATTGACAATTTTTTATTGAAAAGGGATTTAAATATACTTTTGAAAAATTGTAGTAAAAAACATAAAATTTGTCATCTTAAATATTTTTAAGTGCACAGTTCGTACACTTAAGTGTAGAGTTAACTGTATTCACATTGTTGTACAAGAGTTCTCTAGAACTTTTTCATCTTACTGATACCCATTGAACAAAAACCTCCCGTTTCCCCCTCTTAGCAGCAGCGGGCAACAGTTATTTTATTTTAATTTTGGTTTTAGGTTTTTGATGTTAGCTACTCTATACAGTATAAGTAGAATCATACAGTATTTGTCTTTTGTGACTGGCTTACCTAGCATAATGTCCTCTAGGTTCATCAGTTTTGTGGCATATAGCATGTGACAGGATATCCTTCTTTTTAAAGGTTGACTGTTCCATTATATGCATATACCATATTTTCTTTATTCATTCATCATTGAACATTTAGGTTGCTTCAATCTTTGGCTGTTGTGAATAATGCTGCATTGAACATGTGTGTGCAAATCTCTCTTCAAGATTCTGCCTTTACTTCTTTTGGGTATATACCCAGAAATGAGACTCCTGGATCATATGGGAACCTCCATATGGTTTTCCAGAGTGGCCGCACCATTTTCCATTCCCACCAAAAGTACACAGGGGTTCTGATTTTTCTCTACATTCTTTCCAGCACTTTTTATTTTCTGTGGTGTTCTCTTTCTCCCCTCCCTCCCTCCTTTCTTCCTTCCTTCCTTTTTTCTTTCTTTCTTGGTAGTGAACATTCTAATGGATATGAGATCATGACAGTAATTTCTTAATACCACTAAATAGCCGTTTAGTTTAGTTTTCCTCATTTGCTCATAAACGGTGTTTCTACAAAATCCATACATATTATATTTGGTTGGTATGTACATCTTACTCTTCTGCCTCTTTACTTACTGCATTTTTTCCCTTTTAATTTATTTGCCGTGTGAGGTTTCCTCATTCTGTGTATTGTTAATTGCATCCCTATAGTAAAAAGCCTCTCTTTCCCTTGTGCTTTTTTGCAAATCAGTAGTTATATCTAAGAGCTTAATCTAATTCAGGTTTTTCTTTCTTTATTTTGTGGTGTCAGGGTGACAGAATATTTCATAAGGAGGTCCTTAAGACGTACATATTTGTCTCTGTGATATTAGGTGACTTTTGACCACTGCTTAGATCTTTTATTTCAGTGAGAACATGCAAGATGTTGATATCCTAATTATATCAAGGGTTTTAAGTGTCATTGAGCTCGTGGATTTAAATATTTTATATGTTTATTGCATTGCAGTTTTTATCCTTATTATGATGCTCAAATGGTCTTGGCCAAGGAGCCTTTTTAAGTTGGCTTTTACATAAACTTTTTTCTTTTATATTTTATAATATTACATATTATTAGATATAAATGTAATAGAAAATAGCATAAATGTATTATTAAAATATAAAATATAGAATATATAAGTGAAGCATATAAGATAAATTTATAAAATCATATAGAACTATTATATATAATATTGATTTTTATCTTAATATATATTTCTCTATTTAAACCAGTACCACTAACATGATTCCTAAAAATTGCTTTTTTGGCCTATGTCCCACTGAGGCTTACAGTCAAAGTATTGTTTTTACAGTACTCAAAGTAAATCCACTTGTGTGATTTTTCTGCCATCTTGTTATCTAGTCACGTCTGTTTATTTCATTTTATTTTTAGTATTTAGAATTTAAATATTTTGATTTAGTTTTGTTCTGTAATTATATATAAAATGTTTATGTTACTTCAAAATAAGATACATTTTTATTTTCTACTCCCCTTCTAGATAACTGGTTTTTATCTATAGTGCTAGTTTAAAAAAATATAAGCAAACCCATGTACATACTTATATTGGAGATCATCTTATAATGCTGTATAGTCAGTCCTCATTCCTTTTCATGGCTATGTGATAGTCCATTATATGGATGTACCATTCTGTTTCAAGAATGGGAGTT